CCCCTGCTCTCTGTACATTACACACCTGACCCATGCACTATGTACATTACTTCCTCCTGACCTCTGCACTCTGTACATTACACACTTGACCCCTGTACTATGTACATTACCTACTCCAGACCCCTGTACTCTGTACATTACACAACTTGCCCCTACTCTATGTACATTACCTACTCCTAACTCCGACACTTGGCACATTATACTCCTGAACCCTATACTATGTACATTATACACCTGACCATAGCACTCTGTACATTACCCAACCCAGATCCCTACACTACACACATACTCCACCTTGGACCCCTGCACTCTGTACATTGCATCCTCCTACATAATGGCTGTTTCACGCAGGAAAGGCACGTTCCTGCACTTGTGTTCAAAATGCACTGCCTTTGCAATCCGCTACGGTTGCTAATGCATTTTTAATGGCACCCCAAACGCAGATGGCCAACTCAGTGTATTTGTGGGCACCACACTGCATGATAATGCAGTACCACGCAATTTGGTGCAGGGCGGTTTTCAAAAGTAGTGCATGCACTGCTTTTTGTAAGTTCTGATGCGATTTGCAGCCCATTCCAAATCACTCTACAGGGGAAAACACAATAATCATTACTGTGCGATTCTTGGGTGAGCCGGCCCTACTAGAGAGCAGCCAGGAGGGCAGTATGAAGTGCTGGGTACGGGTACTCGGGACAGGAAAAGCGACAGGTTCTCTTTAGATTCTCAGATCACTAAACGCAGGCCCTTTATGATTGTTTTGTATTAAGCACTGTATTTCATCATTGGTTACAGCGCAGGTTCCGTATAAGCAAGTATATAACGGCGGAGATTTCTGTGACGTCACCTCGTTTCGGCCGGTGGTCTGACACCACGGGAATTTTAAATGTTTACACTGCCTTTATGCACCTTGTCTATGTAAGTGCAATACTTTAATACATTCTTTGCTGGTTTATCGGGTCGCACTATGAAGTTTTCTTCTTCTGTTTTAAACCTTTCCTTGCATGATGTGGAGAGCTGTCTGATGTGATGGATTCGCTCAAGTGAACCTGCAGTTGTCCATTCATCTCCTTGATACGGCTAACACGGTTGTCAGCATGGGATCTGAACACCATCTGCTCATTTGATCTCTTGATTGGAGCTCAAAGTGTCTGGGAAGAGGCTGATTTTTTTCTTTTGTGTCAAGCATTTGTGGACACCTATGCACTTTCCATTGGGAGGATTTCTTTAGCACACAACACTGTGTTATTGGATTTTGGGGCTTTTAATTATTTAATATGTGAATGTGGCCTTATATCATTTCAATTAATTTATGCACATTTTTTATGTTACAGGATTTATATAGCGCCAGCAGTTTGCTCAGCACTTTACAATATAAAGAGAGACAATACAGCAACAATACAGTTCAATACAAGAGGGATAAGAGGGCCCTGCTCCTTGGAGCTTACAATCTAAGAGGGAGGGGCTAGTGGTACAAAGGTAATAACTGTGGGGGATGGACTGGTAGGAGGAATAGAAGATTCCTTTGTTAGCTGAGGGCAGGATTTATTTGATTTATTATTGTTTATGATTTTTTAGTGTATAGAGCACTAATTTTTTATGTTTTGGATTTTCTGGTGTTCAGGGGAAGAGTAGTAGAAGTTCACTGTTTCAGAATATATTTTTTTTCTCACACATTTAAGCCCCATGTACACGGGACATTTCTGAATGATGGAAACTGCTTAAAAATGTAGGTTAAAAATTGTCTGTTTAGCCGCCTTTGCATAACGGGTTTATGTGCGTTAGCGTTTAGAAGCATTTTTTAAAGATAAGCACAGGAGAACCTTCCAAATGCCCAGAATGCACTGAACAGTGGTACATTATTAACTATTTCAGACTGTTTCAGAGAAATACAGAGAGTAGAAGCAGAGACAGCAGTATGTGTTGAGATTAGCTTAGGTGTGAGTTGCTCATTAACATTTCTTTTGTTTCTAAGGGTGGGAAAGGTGTCTGGTGGAGGGAGTCATTAAGGCCACCTGGCAGGGGGTCTTCATGAGGAATTTGAGGTGTGAATGGTCATTAACATATCTTTTGTTTCCAAGGGTGGGAGAGGTCTGAGGTGTGAATTGGTCATTACAATGTGTGACAAGCTTGCTAGGAACATCCTGTGTTCAGTGTTTTGTCCATCTGAGTACCTTGAAAACACTTTGCATGCATTTTTCATGATGAAAAAAGGCTCTGGACAGCATCGGGAACTGGAAGAGTTAAAAAAAAATTGCAAATGCTTATAGACGCGATTTGACGCTTTTGAAACGCTGATAAAATCGACTGCTGAACGCAAGTTTTCTGCGTTCAAAAAAACGACTGTAAACTCAAATGCCTGTAAACGACTCTGTGTACATGGACACATAGGAAAACATTATAGTGAGTTTAGGGGCTGCTGAAAAAAAAAAAACGCTGAACAGCTCCTGAATGTGAGTTTATCAGCTGCAGTGTACATGAGCCCTTATTCACATATTGTATTGCCTGGGGTGTAGCGCAAGTTTTTTTTTTCCTTTTCTTCGTTATAAACAAAGCAAGGCAAAATGTCCAACGTCATCAGTCACACCACTGCGATTTAAAATCACACAATTTGTGTGTGATTTCAGAAGACTTTATTGCTACTTGTGAAGATTTTCAATGATTTCTTGCAATTTGCAGTGCGATTTCCATTACATTCTATGTGCGCAAAATTGCAATAAACTGCAGAGAAATTAATGCAAGAACTACTTTACAAATCGCGCTGCATTAAATCGTACTATAAGATGCTGACATTCACTAGATGCACTTGAAATTTGCAAATCGCACCTGAAATCGCACCAGGGAGACCTGGCAACTTAGTGCCTGATCATACCGGTGCGATTTAGGATGGAAACTGCGTCTTAACCACTTCATGTCCGGACACTTTTACCCCCTTCCTGTCCAGGCCAATTTTCAGCGCTATCAAACTTTGAATGACAATTGCGCGGTCATGCAACACTGTACCCATATGAATTTTTAAGCATTTTTTGAGACAGATAAAACTTTATTTGGGTGGTATTTAATCACCACTGGAATTTTTATATATTTTTTGCTATATAAATGAAAAAGTCCAAAAATTTTGAAAAAGTGTTTTTTCTTATAAAATTTTGCAAATAAATAATATTTCATCATAAATCTTGGCCAAAATTTATTCCGCTATCTTTTTAATAAAAACAAAAATAACCCAAATTAGTTTATAACCAAAAATTATAATTTTTTTAAAACTTTTTTTACATTTTTATATTGTTTTATTTTTAACATACTGTCACCCTAGCAGTACAGTGTCACCATAGTGACACTGTACTACTTGTGGGGGGTGATGAAGATTTTTTTTTTTCCACTGATTGCTTTTACACCCACAAAGGCTGGAAAAGCAATAATTTCTCCTCTCTGGCTGCATTCTTGCAGCCATTGAGAAATACTGTGTGAGCTGTGATTGGTCACAGCTTGTCACATGGTACAAGGCTGTTGTGAATAGCCTTGTACCATGTGACCTCTGTGATCATTCACAGATTTCACACGTAGTAAGCAATGATGTCAGAAGTGACATCTTGCTTACTACTCTTCATGTGATCACTAATTGGCCAATCAGTGATCACATGATTGGGACCTCACACAGAGGTCCCGTACGACGATCAGTGTCCGGACACAGTGGGCACCGTATTGTGTTGCCGCGCGCTCCCAATCCAAAATGGCAGGCGTCGTTTATGAACAGCAACCTGCCCCTGGACTCCCACCATCCGGCTGTTTATAAACATGGGCCGGAAGGGAAGTGGTTAACATGTGCGATCTGCTGCAGCGCGATTTCTAAAGTAATTCTTTAGTAACTTCTACAGTTTATTGTAATTTCACACACAGAGTATAACAGAAATCGCAAGAAATCGATGAAAATCTTTACAAGTAGCAATAAAGTCTTCACAAATGGCACTACTTTAAAACGCAGCGGTACGACAGTGACTAAATTTAATCTCCTTGGCAACCATGGCTAGTCCAGGCCTCATCAACCTCAAACAGGCCAAAAGCAGTGATTTTACCTCAGAAACGTCTCGGTTTGTGTCTTTTTCTACTAACAGGTGTAAGCATTGACTGCAGCACGGCTATCTTGGTATAGCTATGTCCTTTTCCTGTATAGAAACACGAACCGCTACCCTCCACTTCGGTTCCGCCGATTCACCTCACACTCCGCCAACTCTAATTACGCCTCACACGACTTTCCCGCCTATGCGCGAAGTGGGTGGAGTCAGCTTTCCGACTGGCACTTGCAGGAGACACTGTGGAGGCGGGGTTAGAGTGGTTGTCCTGATCTGCATAAAAAGTTTTTAAGGCGGAGTGAACGTGGGTGGGGGCGGGGGGGGTGCTTTCTTTTCCGCACTGCAAGCTTTGGGAGGCGGAGCTAGACTTGCGCAAGTTTGGTGTCTGAAAAAAAAGAGGTGGGGCTGAAAAGATGACAGCGAAGGGGGGGAACTACAACTCCCATGATGTATTGCGCCAGAACCGGAAACACGTGTAAAGAGGAAGAGTTGACAAGTGGGCAGAGGGGCGCTGGAAGTTTAGTGGGCGAAGTGTCAGTGTAGTGGCCTGAGGAGGATGACTGTAGTGCGGACGGAAGATGTAGCAGCGTTAGGCCGCTCGTAGACAGGCTATTGTATGGAGAACCGAAAGAGAGCTGCCTAGACCGCCCCTGTGTACACTGCGCTGGCTGGACTATCAACACCTTGCTATACATAGGGGGAGGGGTCTTTTTATGTGCCAAATAATTAGCTGACATTTGCTGCATCATACTGTGCTTTGTTTGTACACAAAGGGCCATATTTATTATATCTATTGTATCTGTTACCATTGTTACCTGGAGGGGTCAGATCCACACAGACAGGGGAGGGTGTAGATATGTGAAGTGTATATATATTATCAGAGACTGACACTAGAGTAACTGACGGGGGATCGGAGAGAGAAGATCGCTCAGGATGTCTGTGGAGGATCCATTCTCTGTAGTAAGAGGGTGAGTACATGTCTGTGACATCACCGAGATGACAACACAACCTATCCATTCACTGACATTACCGAGATGACAACACAACCTATCCATTCACTGACATCACCGAGATGACAACACAACCTATCCATTCACTGACATTACCGAGATGACAACACAGCCTATCCATTCACTGACATCACCGAGATGACAACACAGCCTATCCATTCACTGACATTACCGAGATGACAACACAGCCTATCCATTCACTGACGTCACCGAGAGGACAACACAGCCTATCCATTCACTGACATCACCGAGATGACAACACAGCCTATCCATTCACTGACATCACCGAGATGACAACACAACCTATCCATTCACTGACATCACCGAGATGACAACACAATCTATCCATTCACTGACATTACCGAGATGACAACACAACCTATCCATTCACTGACGTCACCGAGAGGACAACACAACCTATCCATTCACTGACATCACCGAGATGACAACACAGCCTATCCATTCACTGACGTCACCGAGAGGACAACACAGCCTATCCATTCACTGACATCACCGAGATGACAACACAGCCTATCCATTCACTGACATCACCGAGATGACAACACAGCCTATCCATTCACTGACATCACCGAGATGACAACACAGCCTATCCATTCACTGACATCACCGAGAGCACAACACAGCCTATCCATTCACTGACATCACCGAGATGACAACACAGCCTATCCATTCACTGACATCACCGAGATGACAACACAATCTATCTATACTTTCACTGACATCAGCGAGATGACAACACAACCTATCCATTCACTGACATCACCGAGATGACAACACAATCTATCCATTCACTGACATTACCGAGATGACAACACAACCTATCCATTCAGTGACATCACCGAGATGACAACACAGCCTATCCATTCACTGACGTCACCGAGAGGACAACACAGCCTATCCATTCACTGACATCACCGAGATGACAACACAATCTATCCATTCACTGACATCACCGAGATGACAACACAATCTATCCATTCACTGACATCACCGAGATGACAACACAGCCTATCCATTCACTGACATCACCAAGATGACAACACAGCCTATCCATTCACTGACATCACCGAGATGACAACACAGCCTATCCATTCACTGACATCACCGAGAGGACAACACAGCCTATCCATTCACTGACATCACCAAGAGGACAACACAGCCTATCCATTCACTGACATCACTGAGATGACAACACAGCCTATCCATTCACTGAGATGACAACACAGCCTATCCATTCACTGACATCACTGAGATGACAACACAGCCTATCCATTCACTGACATCACCGAGATGACAACACAGCCTATCCATTCACTGACATCACCGAGAGGACAACACAGCCTATCCATTCACTGACATCACTGAGATGACAACACAGCCTATCCATTCACTGAGATGACAACACAGCCTATCCATTCACTGAGATGACAACACAGCCTATCCATTCACTGACATCACTGAGATGACAACACAGCCTATCCATTCACTGACATCACCGAGATGACAACACAGCCTATCCATTCACTGACATCACCGAGAGGACAACACAGCCTGTCCATTCACTGAGATGACAACACAGCCTGTCCATTCACTGAGATGACAACACAGCCTATCCATTCACTGAGATGACAACACAGCCTATCCATTCACTGAGATGACAACACAGCCTATCCATTCACTGACACCTTAATATTCATGAGAACACAGAGACCTTTGACATCACTGAGACCTTCATAATAATGAGAACACAGCCTGTCCATTCACTAGAGACCAGTGACATCACTGAGACCTTCATATTCATGAGAATACAGCCTATCCATTCACTAGAGACCAGTGACATCACTGAGACCTTCATATTCATGAGAACACAGCCTATCCTTTCACTAGAGCCCAGTGACATCACTGAGTGACATCACTTCATATTCATGAGAATACAGCCTATCCATTCACAGAAATCCTTCATATTCATGAGAACACAGCCTATCCATTAACTATAGTGACCAGTGACATCCCTGAGGCCTTCATAATCCTGAGAACACAGCCTATCCATTCACTAGAGACCAGCAACATCACTGAGACCTTCATATTCATGAGAACACAGCCTATCCATTTGCTAGAGACCAGTGACATCACCGAGACCTTCATATTTATGAGACCACATCCTATCCATTCACTAGAGACCAGCGACATAACTGAGACCTTCATATTCATAAGAATACAGCCTATCCATTCACTAGAGACCAGCGACATCACTGTGACCTTCATATTCATGAGAACACAGCCTATCCATTCGCTAGAGACCAGTGACATCCCTGAGACCTTCATATTCATGAGAACACAGCCTATCTATTCACTAGAGACCAGTGACATCACTGAGACCTTCATATTCATGAGAACACCACCTGTCCATTCACTAGAGAAAAGGGACATCACTGAGACCTTCATATTTATGAGATTACAGCCTATCCATTCACTAGAGACCGGTGACATCCCTGAGACCTTCATATTCATGAGAACACAGCCTATCCATTAACTATAGAGACCAGTGACATCACTGAGACCTTCATGTTTATGAGAACACAGTCTGTCCATTCATTAGAGACCGGTGACATCAGTGAGACCTTCATATTCATGCAGCACAGACTATCCATTCACTAGAGACCAGTGACATCACTGAGACCTTCATATTCATGAGAACACAAGTAGAATATAAAAACTCTCAACCAAAAAGCATAATCAAATCTACTCAAAAAGTCGCAAAGTAGTACAAGGAAGAGCCCTCCAATATCTTGGTATAAAAGGCTTGTGAACTGGTTCCTGTTGGCTCCTCTAAGGAATCGGGGTCAATCCTAAATGACACATGAAAAACAACCGACAACAGCACAGTATCCCGTTGGATGATGGTGTATATTTTATTGTAACAAAGAAAATACCACACTTACTTCCTAGCAACTTAATTCCAGCTTGATTAATTCAGAGATGACAGCACATTCGGCTAGGGCTGCAATGATGGCAGTCATGTATTCTCAGTGTCGGCTAGTGAGAACTCGCTTCACCACTCTCCCAGGGCAGTTTTCTTGCCGGTATATACAGTTCCTGGCCAAACTGTGCATCAAATATGGGGGGCAGCAACAAATTTCGAGGGTGTGCCTCTTTCTCAAGCCCTCAAAAGAGGAACACTCTCGAAACGTTGCCACACCTCAGTTTTGGTGTACACTGACAGATTTGCCTAGCTGGCATTACTGCTGAGCTGAAGCTCATAGTGTATTCCCTTGCGTGAAACCCCCTTACCCCCACTACAGGCATTATATGCTATGACTGCTGAGGGCTTCCTCAGGGCCATAAGGAAGCATTTTAAAGAGAGACTGTCACTTTGCTCATTTAGTTCCCTTAGGACCCTCACTCTGTTGCTCTAATAAAGGGGGGATTGTAGGTATAGGGGAGCATGTGCCAATACTTTGGCCTGAGTGGCCATTTCCAGGCCAAAGTAAATCACATGGGAGGTGGTGACGTCTGCTGCTACTTGCGTAGGCCCTGACACTGGAGTTTACTCTAAGGGTAGATTGCAGAGGAAGGTGGCAAGCATCGGTGAGGGGAGAGCACTATATCAAGAGTTACTGTCACTTTGCCAGAATGTTGAAGTGACAGTTTCTTTTTAGAGTATCTTGCATCTCTTTTGACAGACCTGTTCTTTGTAAATGTTTGCCATTGGTTTCCTTCGCAGGGAGGTACAGAAGTCACTAAATACCAGCCGTGGTCTGTATCAGCGCTGGTGTGAGCTCCTACAGGAAAGTAATGTGACCAGCGCTGAAGAGTTTGATTGGACAACCAATGAGCTCAGAAATTCCCTGAGGAGCATAGAATGGGATCTGGAAGATTTAGAAGAGACCATAAGTATCCTAACTCAATAAGTGTTGGACTTTGTGTATTAAAAATTGCATTTACCATAGTAATCCTATTACAGCGATCATTTTTTGGAGCTAAGTAGGGAATGAATGGAAATATTTGACTTTCCTAAGGAACGGACACTGTTATAGACAAGACCAGATGTCATTCTGTGGTGTAACGTAGTATACCCAGTTAAATACCGCTTTCTTGTCACCCTTCCCTTCATATCCCAGAATCCTTTCTGTTATTCCTTAACTCCTATCATGGGCATCGTTGAAGCAAACCCAAAAAAGTTTAAAATTTTGGAAGCTGAGCTGACCGAAAGAAAGAACTTTGTGGAGAAGACGAGAAGTTCACTTAAGGTGATACATATAGGGTCCACTCTTGAATTTTTTTTTTAATTGGTATTCTGCTACAGGTTTATGGCATTATGAAAATGTATCGTGAACCTCTTGGTCAAAATTTGACAAAAAATATTTTCATGCTATAACCCACAACAAAGTTCTGTCTTTTCTTTCAATTGTATTTTTCTTGCTTGGTTCTGATTGGGTAATGTGAACCTGGCACATCTTAGATCACTTCCACCCACGTATGTGCCTTCCTGCTTGCCTGGAGCTTGGACAGCTCCACTACCTATGTTGCTGTCAGAAGTCACTGGTAAAATGAAGCCACGTGGCTTTTAATGCAGCTGTGATATGACCTCTCGCCAACAACCACCAATCAGTCCGTATCCTGGCCAAGAGTAGCCTTTTTATAAGTTTAGAACCCCTGATGTTGTTGGCATTGACAAATGAGGCCATGTGACATAACTGGAAGTTTCTTTTATTTAAGAATTGTCATTAAAGTATGCACAAGTTCTAAAAACCCTACACATTAAATGAAAATGGAAATTGATATCGTTCTATTACCATCCATGTCACATTGTATACATTTCTGATATGGCTTGCATCATTGTACTTGGAGCAGAGGAGGCCTGGATGAGGCTTCATATAACTTTTTAGTTATTTTGGATCACTCTGGTCCAAAACGAACCATTGACTTCACTAACAGTTGCAGTGGCTGTGGAAACTGTGTTTTGCCTAGGCTACATACAGTATGCAGCCGTGTGTTCCGTCAGCGGAATGAGGACTTCCTTTTATGCTCCTGGAACAAAATTGATCTGGGCTGAGCATTGCAAAGCAATTCACAGGGAGCTTTGTATTCTATGAATGAATACAAAGCTTCCTTTGACTGGCTGAGGCAGGCTGATGATGTAACACCCGTAAGGGCAGATGAGTCATTTGCTTCTTAGAATCCATCTGTCCTTAGCTCAGCCATGCGGGCAGAATGATGTGCTTAGCTGAGAAAACCCCTCCTGAAGACTCCTGAGATGAATGACATCATTTGCCTAGGCATGGAACCCAGGAAATAACTGTAGATATGTAAAAAAAAAAACAAATTTTAAAACTAGTAAATATTATATCCATTCCTATCTATTTACTAATGTTAGCAGCATAAGGATTAAAAATAGTTCATTGATTGTGACAGTGTAAAGTACTGTATACAGTGATATTTTCAGGTGCTTTGTAAATACACAAAGCTAGACTTGCATTAAGTATGCTTCTTATCAGAAACATAGGAAATGTTGTTAAAACCTGTCTAACTGATAACCTGTGATTTTAGCTAGAGAAATGTGCAGTAGTCCCAGCAATATCAAGAAAAAGTATAATTTGTCCCTGAATAAACAAAGTGACAGACTTTTTAAAAAGGAACTCTTAATGGTTTCTGTTTACGATCAATATGCAGTCTTAGGCCCCATGTACACGGGACACTTCTGAACGATGGAAACTGACTGCTGGAAAACGTAGGTTAAAAAAACGTCTGTTTAGCCGCATTTGCATGTTTATGTTTAGAAGCGTTTTTTAAAGATAAGCACAGGAGAACCTCCTGAATGCCCAGAATGCACTGAAAAGTGATACATTTTTAACCATTTCAGAAAGATACAGAGAGTAGAAGCAGAGAGAGCAGTATATGTTGAGATTAGCTTAGGTGTGAGTTGCTCATTCACATTTCTTTTGTTTCTTTTGTTTTTTAAAGATAAGCACAGGAGAACCTCCCAAATGCCCAGAATGCACTGAAATGTGGTAAATTATTACCTATTTCAGACTGTTTCAGAGAAATACAGAGAGTAGAAGCAGGGACAGCAGGATGTGTTGAGATTAGTTTAGGTGTGAGTTGCTCATTAACATTTACATTTCTTTTGTTTCCAAGGGTGGGAAAGGTGTCTGGTGGAGGGAGTCATTAAGCTCACCTGGCAGGGGGTCTTCATGAGGAATTTGGTGTGAATGGTCATTAACATATCTTTTGTTTCCAAGGGTGGGATAGGTCTGAGTTGTGAATTGGTCATTAAAATGTGTGACATGCTTGGTTGGAACATCCTGTGTTCAGTGTTTTGTCCATCTGAGCACCTTGAAAACGCTTTGCATGCATTTTTCATGATGAAAAAAAGGCTCTGGACAGCATCGGGAACGGGAAGAGTTAAAAAAAAAAAAAGTCAAACGCAAATGCTTATAAACGCGATTTGCCACGTTTAGAAGTGTTTTGTGTTTTAAACGCTGATAAAATCTGCTGAATGCAAGTTTGGTGCGTTAAAAAAAACGACTGTAAACTCAAATGCCTGTAAACGACTGTAAACAAAGATGTGTAAATGGACACATAGGAAAATATTAGGGTGAGTTCAGGGGCTGCTGAAAAAAAAATGCTGAACAGCTCCTAAACGTGAGTTTATCAGCTGCAGTGTACTGAGCCCTTAGAAAACAGCCCAATCAGTGGACAACAAACACTTCCAATGTATGGGGATGCCAATGGTTCCAACAGTCAAGCACATTTGTCTCTGCTCTCAGGACTGGAAGTGATGGGAAAAACAGTATCATGGGGGACAGTAAGTGAGGTTGCTTCTCAGTATAGGAAGTCGTGGGAAATGTGGAAATCTGGAACAGTGAGGTTGCTTCTTAGGACAAAGTGCTGGGAAATCTCTCCAGGGCAGTAAATGAGGCTGCTTCCTTCCAGGACAGGAAGTGATGAGAAATCCCTTGGGAAGAGTAAAACTGGCCATACATGGAGAAAATTTCATCCAGCATCCTCTCAGGATAGGAAATGAGGGAAAATCTCCACAATGAAGTAAAAAAAAATAAAAACCTGGCACATTGTAGCTCTACCCCAATCTAGTCAAAACTGAAAAAAAAAAAACTGAATGAACTTTGCCCTCAAAGTAAAACTTTACGCCAATATAAAAATTTGGAACTCAGCAGTGTGATAATGTTCATCTGCAGCCCAGTGAGCAGGAAGGTGAGATGGCAAGTTGTGGTGTAATGTGATGTCCTCCAGCTATGTTCCATGGCAAGATGCCTGGATCACAAGACTGGCAGAACAGAATGAAGAATAATTTAAACTATATTGCAGCTATGTATTAAACTGTTTAGTTGGAGTTCTGCTAAGAACTTAAGAGATTCTTAATTTGGATGACTTTTTGCTGATTCTTGTGTCATAACATATGTTGCTCTTCTCTTTCCCAACCTGTTCTTTTCAAGGAAATGAGGGATCACATCTCCAGCCCCCGAGCTCAGGCTTTCACAGAGAAAAAGAACCGAGAGGTAGTGCCATTTCCTTCTCTCATTGTTCCCATTTGTCAGCTTCACCTTCGTGTTTGACCTGTGAACACTCTGTGTCGTAGGCGCTGGGTGTCTCTCGGCCGATGGCTTCAGATCACTTTTCTCGCCTTGATGATGAGATGATATCAGGGAACTCTCGTTACGTAGAGGACCAGCAAGCACAACAACAGGTGAGCATTGCATTAACACTTGAAAATATTACTTTTGTATTTGCATGTCGGCGTGGTCCCCAGGTGCACCTGTACCCTGGTAGGAAAAGCACAAGTCTCACAGTCCAAAGGCATTAGAATTGTGCAAGAAAGTTGTCTATCGATACTGTTATGGGGTGCTGCTCTTATTCTTTACGCATATGAAGCAGTTTTCAGCCTGCTGTCTCCAAATTCTTGGCTCTAGCTTGGTGCTTCCATATTTCCTAGTCCTCTTCCTGGACAGCCCACGAGACGTAGAGCTCCTCCCATGGGATAGGAAACACGTTACCCTCCACAGATTAAAAGGCTGTCCTCCAGGCCCTAGCCTCAGTTATTAGTGTTTCCTCTGGACGGGGTTAACATGTTTTCTGGAAGCGTTGGAAATCTGGGGCTGACTGGAAGCTCTCTGAGGAGGTGAATTACCCTGGGAATCCTTGTCTTCTGGCCCAGCCGCAATCCCCTTCATGTGATGGCCCCGGAAGTGACGTCATCACCGGACGGCTGAGAATGCTCCCCGTTTATAGGTGCAAGGGGGACTGTGAAGAGCGGCTGGTGTGGTGGTCTTCAGTGGCAGCAGAGGCTGATCTTGAAGGACTGGTCCCATGGATCCTCCCGTGGCTCCTGCTCTGGCGGTCAACTCCGGGGATGCAGGCACCAGCTCCTCACAAGTATTTACGATGGGAAGGGCTCCCAATTTGTATACCTGTGTGGTTTTGCCTTTTCTATCAGGTGCAGCTCTTGGGATGTGGGCTGTTGGCTGACATGGCACTTTTTTCTTCTCTCTGGAACACAGGGTGTGATTTCTAGTTAGAGCCTGAGGGTCTCTTTTTTTTTTTTTTTTTTTTTCTGTCATTATTTACAGACAAAAGCTCGGGACAGAGGTCCAGATCCTGACTCCAAGAAGAAGAAATGGGCTGTTTGTGCATCCAAAGTGAGATCTGCTTGGGTCAAGCCCTTATGCCACCCTTGCATTATTAGCCTGGTTAAAGAAGACTGTATTTCAGCTTGTATAAAATTGCTGTAATCGGTCAAAAATGAACTTGTAACTATGTTCAGTTCTTTTAAGACCTTTTTGGAGGATTTTAGAAGTCCCGCTCCACCTCCGCAGCCCCTGGGTGACCTGGACCTTTCCATAGCCAAGACCCCCCCCTCGCCCATAGAGGTCAGACCGGAAGTACTAGAAAGGGTTACTAGGATACAGTCTTCAGCCTCGTCAGGGAGCGATGAAAAGGGGAATTCTTCAGAGGAGGGGGAGGGGTCTGTGGATAGGTCTTCTAGGTAAAAATTCTTCTTAGTAGAAGTGGATGAGTTGTTAAAGGCCATATACGAGACTTTGGAAATAGAAGAAGACAAGGTCCAGCTTTCGAGACACGACTTAATGTATGAACGTCTACAGAGAAAAAAGGGCAGGGTTTTTCCTGTTCATAAATCTCTAACTGAGGCTACTGAGTTAGCATGGAAGGAGCCAGTGCACAAGCCTTTCTTTTTCAATAGTCTTAAAAGGAGGTTTCCCTTTGAGGAGGGTGATGAACACCCTTGGAATAAAAATCCTAGATTGGATGCTCCTTTGTCGAAGGCTTCAAAGAAATCCGAACTGGTGTTCCAGGGCATGGGAGTCCTTAGGGACCCTATGGATAAAAAGGGGGATGTCTTTCTGAAAAGGGCCTGGGAGTCTACGGTGAATAGTTTCAAGCCGGCACTTGCCTCTACCTGTGTAGACAGGAACTTGGATTTTTGGCTATCCCAACTTAAATCCTACTTAATGGGAGGTACGTCTGAGGAAGAGATTTTATGTTCTTTCCCTATGCATTTCAGAGCAGTGGGTTTTTTGGCCGATTCTTCTGCAGAGGCAGTAAGAATGGCCACTAGATCTTCGGCCCTGGTGAATTCAACTGGGAGGTCTCTTTGGCTGAAGACCTGGTCTGGGGATTCAACCGCTAAGGCTCGTTTATGCGCGTTGCATTTTTCAGGGGTCAATCTCTTTGGCCCGGGTTTGTAAGAAGCGTTGGAGTGCACGACGGATAAGAAAGGCTTTTACAGAAATAAGAGGCCGGTTTCCAGAAAGCTTTTTCGTGGCCCACAGGGCAGACCACAGTTGGACCAAAGAAACACTGGTCTTGCCACAAGAATAGGGGCAAGGGAGGAATCCTTTTTAATCCTCCTCAACCCTCCCCCCAAAACCCAATGACTCCTTCCTCCCACTGGGGGTCTTCCTCCGTCACCTCCAGTCCTTTCATCCTGCAGCTGATAGCGCAGGGTTACAGGTTGGAGTTCGACTCATTGCCTCCTTAGAGATCTTTGGTGACAAATCTGCCCTGGGAAAGAGAAAAGGCAAGGGCGCTATGCCTGCAAATAGGAGAAATGGTGGATCAGAGTCTTGGTTTTTGTCCCGGAGGGAGAAAGGGGTCGGGGTTTTTAGTTTCACGTTTTTGTGGTGAAGAAACCCTCAGGCAATTTTTGTCTGATTCGGAATTCACGACCTCTCAATAGATGGATAAAATATAAGCACTTTCATATGGAATCGATATTCTCACTCAGGTTTATCCTGCGTCGGGTATTTTATGGTGTCCCTGGATCTGAAGGATGCGTATCATCACATACCCATGCATGCCTCCTTTCAGAAGTACTTGAGAATGGAAGTCAACTTGGGGACAAGGTTCTAGGAGAAGCTCTGGTTCCTCTGAGGCTGAAGGGCATTCTGGTAGTGTCTTATTTAGACAACCTTCTGTTAGCTGCCCCTTCCGAGCAACAGCTGCAGAGAGATCTCAGGTTAAACAAAGCTACTTGCAGTTGCTGGGCTGGATGATCAACTGGGAAAAATCTAACCTGATTCCATCTCAGTCACTAAAGTTCCTGCAGTATATTATAGATTCAAGGGTTCAAAAGATGTTTCTCCCTGCAGACAAACCATACAAGGTTGGCTATCAAGTAGCCCACCTGCAATCGAATCTCCTGGTTCCCTGAAGAAGATCTCAGCGGTTGCGGGTCTCATGACGGCATGTTTTCCAGCAGTGCCCTGGGCCCGATTTCACCAGAGACCTCTGCAGCTCTTTCTGCTCCAGACCTGGGATGGGACGAGGGGCACCCTCTAGAACAAGGTCCTCCTTTCTCAGAGGGTCAAGCAGTCCTTTTGGTGGTGGAGAACGGAGACTTATCTTGCCAGAGGTCTACATTGGATCTGGCTGATCTCCCTGAGGATGATGACAGACACCAGCTTCTGGGGTTGGGGGGGCTCACGTACAGGACTGCCTGGCCCAGGGCCAGTGGTCAAAGACCGAGGCCAGTTTTTCTTCCAGCCAGAGGGAATTCTTGGCTGTGGAAAGAATTATGCTGAAATTTCATAAGGTCAATTGAAAGGTCATCATCTGCAAATCCTCTCTGACAACAACACGACAGTGGCCTATATCAGCAAACAGAGGCTGCAGAAGTCCGCGGTTACAGGCAATTGCGGAGAAGATATTGGGTTGGGCGAAAGCCAAATTAGCCTTAATCTCAGAAGACCACCTAAAGGGCTGTCAGAATGTTAGCGGATTCCTCAGCCATCAGGCAGTATGCCAGGAGGAATGGGCTCTTGCCGAGGACGTTTTTTTGTTGGCGGCCAAGTATTTGGGGCCAATGGTAATAGACTTTTTGCCTCTTAGGCAAATGTGAAGCTTCCAAGATTTTTTTTTTTCCTTTTTTTTCCATGAATCCGGGGGGACACGGCGCTAGCCATAGATGCTCTGGCACATCCATGGCATTGCAGTCTTCCCACCCATCAGGATGATTCCGGCAGTGTTGCGGAAATTTCAAATGGAGAAATTGGATCTCATTGTGATATTGGCCAAAACATCCTTGGTTTGCCCTTCTGAAATCTTTGGCATGGAGTCCTCCGGTATTTTCTTCCAAAGAGAAGAGACCTCTTATTCCAGAGCCCTGTGTATTGTCCAGGCTTGGACACATTAAACCTTTCAGTGTGGTATATGAGGAACAGTTGTTAAAGGAAGGCTTTTCAGATATAGTGGTACAAACATTAGTTAGCTGCCAAGCTATCTATTCCAAAGTCTGGAAGAAATTTAAGTCTTGGATAGTGGAGCAAAAGTGTTCTGAACCGTCCATTCAAACAATCCTGGATTTTTTTTTGCAAGAGGGAATAGACAAGGGGATTTCCGTCAGCACTGTTAAGGTGCAAGCAGTGGTTTTAGGAGTTTTTCTAAGAGCTTCTCTCCTGAAAGATCCTATAATTTCGCTCTTTTTAAATCCGTGGCTAGAATGAGACCAGTGCCGTTGAAGTCTTGTCCTTCCTGGGACCTTTCGCTAGTTTTACAAGTATTGACGTCTAGTCCGTTTGAACCAGGCATCCGTTAAACTCATTACTTGAAAGATGGTATTTTTGGTGGCTGTTACCACGGCACATAGAATTCGTGAAATACAGTCTCTGTCGATCAAAGAACTATTCCTTTCGACTTTTGATGACAGGTTAGTTCTTAAGACGTTTCCTGGTTTTTTTACCTAAAGTAGCCACGTCTTTTCATAGGTCGCAGGATATTTTTCTGCCCCCATTTTGTTCCCCCCCCCCTCAAATGAAAAAAAGAAGTTCATTTTACTTGACGTTGGAGATGTCTATTACACTATTTGAGTTTGTCTACGCAATTCAGAAAGTCCGGTGCGCTTTTTGTCTTTTTTTTCAGCAAATGAGTGTTTCAGGCCTTTAAGCCAACTATTGCCAGATGGATCAAGCAGGCCATTTCACTCTATCAGGTTAAGGGCCAGTCAGTACCTTTCATTAATGCACATTCTACTAGGGCCTGTCTACATCTTGGGCAGAGAGAGCTGGTGCCACCCTGGATCAGATATGTAGGGCTGCAACCTCGTTAAGTTTCTCAACATTTGTTAGGCACTACCGTATGAATCTCTTGAGTAGTCAAGAGCAAGCATTTGGGCGTAAAATCCTCCAGGCAGTAGTCCCACCCTAAACTGGTAAGTTCTTATCGTCTCGTGGACTGTCCTGGAAGACGACACTTGGGAAAACCAGAGTTAGACTTACCGGTAACTCTATTTCCGGGAGTCTTCCAGGACAGCCGGATTCCCACCCTTTGCATTATGTTATGCTGTTCTTATGATCTATTTTTCAGGTCCATCCTTCGGTTCTTGTGCTTATTGAGGCTAGGGCCTGGAGGACCGCCTTTTAATCTGTGGAGGGTAACGTGTTTCCTGTCCCGTGGGTGGAGATCTACGTTTCATGGGCTGTCCTGGAAGACTCCCGGAAATAGTTACTGGTAAGTCTAACTCCTGTTTTTTTTTTTTTTTGTTTGTTTTTTTCTTTTTATAGTAATATTTATAATGTGTATATACAGTATGGTATAGGATTTGATTTTGAGGTGATAAAGAAAAAAAAAACAACTCTCAAGAACTATATCTCTTCCAAGCCATATCACTAATCTTTTTCCAGTCAACAAAAAAATTTAACCTCAAATGTATCTAAACAAAAATTTTAAGTGTATGTAAAGAAAAAAAACTTTTTATTTTACGTAAGAAAGGTTTAAAAGGTTACTTATTGCAGTCTATGTTCTGTTAGGGAAAGTTTTATTTTCTTTCTTCCTGTCCAAGATATGGAGCAAGAAGTGAAAGAAATTATGTAGAAATCGGTGTAATTTCCCTCTTAAAGCAAAACCAAAGTTACTTCCTCTGACAGTCTGGGTCCCTCACTGGCATCTTCTCCCCCAGGTGCTAGTCTTTGGGCATTGCCATTGGTCGGCGCGGGGATAATTTAACTTTTGCGTATGCGCAGGAGTCAGTCATTCCAGCATACAGGGACACAGGGTGCTGGCAATTTAAGGTGAACTGCGCATATGCAGCTTAGTTTACATGCCTCAGAAGACTGCAAGCGGACAGGTAGGTGTATTTTTATCTCAGAAGGAGCATTGCATGGCTGTTCTTTGATAATAACCTGCCTGTTCTAAAAAGCATTTAGTTTCGCTTTTAAGACCGCTATCCCCATTGTAAGGTTTTACCCTCGCCTATTGTTTAGGTAACAACTCTTAAGCTGGCCATAGATTATGCAGTTTTACAGCCAGGGGTTGCAGGAAAGAAAATTGCTTGATTCTCCATTCACACAGTCAGAGAGAGTAGTCCCTGCTGGGATAACACATTGATTGCTACCGGCTGTAGCCGCTGGCAATAATCGCATGAAAAATCCAACAGGCTGGTTGTACCCAAGTCGTACAACAATCAATTTGGGTACAGTCAGGCTGCCCATAGCTGGTTTGAATCTCGGTCGGCTCAGCAGGGACCAGCCAAAATTCAAACAATATATGGCCAGCTTAAAGGCTTTAACCTCATTTCCTGTCTTTTAACAGTAGTCAAAAGTGGGCTTAACCCTTGACTACCAAGATAAACCAAAAAAGCTTTGCCGTTACATGCACTTTGATATATTGCAGCTTACCTGTCCTTAGATGTGATGGCTGCATTAGTTTTTAGTTTTGCTTAATTTTACAGGCTTTTTCCCCCCTTTATTTTTACTTGGTAATCCTTTTGGTAAAACGCTTCCTATCCTCTCCACATCTTAACATGGGGTGGTGTTCTGTAGTGCACAGAGCATGGACTGGACCTTAAGGTGGGAATACATGATGAAAAAATCGATCGATCATCTGACGACCGAGAGGCGTTCGTTAGTTGGTCGAAATCGTGGCCCAATCTAAAAAAATTGTTCGGGCAATACGTAGTGTTGACGTCTTCCGTACAAGTGGAAGTGATGCGGCGTGCGTGTGACCTTGTAGCCACGCCCTTGCGGCCAGCATGAGCGATATACACAACAATTACTAGCAATGAGTATAATATCGTTTATTACATAACCTATATACATAAATAGTGATATATAAAATATAATCTGCAGAATTCTGGTGTCATTATCTCATTAGGCCAATCTACTTTTAACATTTGGATTTATCGTTTGTGTTTACGAAGATTCCTTGGACATAAACACCCGGATCATCTTCTGTTTCCGCTCATGTGTGATAGCGCTTGATAGATTTTATTTTTTGTATGACTGTCATACCACCGCATAGAAAATCGGTCGTTCATATGCAAAACTACATTTTTCACCTGATTTTTTTCGTTCACGATATCGTTATCGCGTAAAACATCCTACTCATCAATGAAGAGAAAAATCGTTCGATCAGTGGTTCCACAAAATTTTTCATACAATTTCTGTAGAGGGCATTACTGATAACAATGCAACACAAGGCAGTTATCCAGTCACTGGATTTCTGGCAGGGCAGACAGATATTTCTTTGCACTTACCAAAGCGATATAACCACACAATTTCAATGGTATGTTTAGGAGACAAAAAGGGCGCATACAAGAGAAGTCTATTGTTTAGCTGATTCCTTAGGTGTTTGTAAACCCTGTTTCTGCCTTAACAATATTCAGAGAAATGCTGATTGGATATTGCACTTTACATAAGTTGTGAAGTGAGCCATTCGCAGAAACCTTGTAGAATGACTCCTGGGCTGAATATTCCACCTCCTGATGAAGCCATTTTGTCTCTTCAGCTGATCATAGATGAGCAGGACGCAGAGCTGGAGCTGGTATCAGGCAGTATTCGAGTGTTGAAGGACATGTCAGGACGTATCGGAGGTGAACTGGATGAGCAGGCTGTGTGAGTCCCCCCCCCATTATAAATGAAACACATGACATTGTCTTGAATGTTGATGTTTATATCCTGTGCATGATATTTTTGGAAACTTTTCCCCAGTATGCTTGATGATTTTTCCCATGAGATGGACAACACACAGACTCGCATGGACTCTGTGCTGAAGAGATTGGCCAAAGTATCCCATATGACCAGTGGTAAGCTTCTTCTAGAATAGGAAGGCCTTGTTTACATTCGATATCTGAACTGATAGTGTAAATGCTGTAATGCCTGCAACACATGGGTGGTCCTCTTGGGTAACCACCAGGGGCAGACTGACCATTTGGAAACTCGGGAACTGCCCGAGGGCCCGGGGGTCAGTAGGGGGCCCCATGAGATGCCCCTGGTACCTTTTTCATAGGCTTTTTTGCGTTTGGGCAAGGACACAGGGGCCGCATGATCCCCTATTGCCCGGGGGCCCCATGAGTTGTCAGTCCGCCCCTGGTAACCACCAGTCCTCATTGTGAGAGTCTTTCATCCTGTGCTGATGTGTTGCATAATGAAAATGCCATTAGTTTTGTTTTGTTTTTTTTTTTTTTTGTTTTGTTTTGTTTTTGTTTTGGTTTTTTTATGTCTTGCCATATGATATTTGAGAAATGTCTAGCCTAGAGCTGGCCCTACATTATGCAGTCTGTACAATCTCTGTAGTTTCCTTCAGATTTACAAGACTATATAATGAATATTAATTCAGGCATTCCCCTTCACTTCGTAGTTGATGGTAGATCGTAGGGAAGTTGATATTCAAAAGAAACCACCATTTTAAGCTAGTCAAATATTGACCAGGATGTATCACAAGGGACCCATACCATGCTGAAAATAATTTTAACATGGTTCTAAGGCACTGTGCCCATCTGTAGGTGCTCTCCTCTTCTCTCTACTCACAGGCTTTGCTATGGCAGCGGGAGCCATTGGCTTAAATCCTGTTATGAGGGAGCAGGGGATGAGCTGTGCTGTTTTTGTCTATGGATGTAGGCAGTGCGGCTCAGGATTGAGCCAAAAGGGGTGCCACAATAAGAAGTGGCTTCCTTTGATGGCACACAGAGAGGAGGACCCAGGAACGCCATCGAGGGATCCTAGAAGAGGAGGTCCAAGGCTGCTGTGTGCAATACGATCACACTGTAAAAGAAGAAAGTTTGACTTTACAACCACTTTAATTGTAACTGAATAATAGAGAATTAATAAGTTGCCTTCTCATCCTGAAGCTTCTGGGTGATGTCACTGGTCTATATAGAGTGTCTCAGTGATGCAACTGGTATGTAGTGAATGGATAGGCTGTGTTCTCATGAAAATGGAGTGTCTCAGTGACATCATTAGACTATAGTGAATTAACAGCTTAAGGACCGCCCTATAGTAGATATACTGCTACAAGGCGGCATCTGTGTGCAAAATTGCGTGTATATTTACACGTGCTTTTGCATTTCTGGGCCAGCCCACCCTACCCATGTCGCCATTCGCGGTTCCGAATGTCAGTCACCGGGTCCCAACCGGTAATTACCCGCCGGCACCGATCACCGATGGGGAGGAAGACTGTTTTGTTTACAAACCATCTTCCTCCCTGTCAGCTCGAGCACACTGCTGCCTGAGCAGTGTGCTTACAGTAAAGCGCACACAACCCCTGCCCCCTAGAAAACACAACACATAGTTAACTCTTTGATCGCCACTCACATTAACCCCTTCCTGCCCAGTGCCATTAGTAGTGTCCGTGCTTTTTTTTTTTTTTTTTTTTTTTTTTTTTTGTAGCACTGATCACTGTATTTGTGTCACTGGGGATGTCAGTGACACCAAGTTGGTTCCCACCGCAGTGTCAGAATGTCCGCCGCAGTCCCACTAAAAGTCGCTGATTGCCGCCATTACTAGTAGAAAAAAAAAAAATCCAGTATCTGTACCATCATTTGTAAACGCTATAACTTTCATGCAAACCAATTTACACGTATTGGGATTTTTTATTTTTTTTTTGCAGCAAAGACATGTCTCAGAATACATTTTGGCCTACATTTATGACGAAATTTGATTTTTTTTTTTACTGGACATGTTTAATAGCAAAAAGTCCAAAATAATTTTTTTCTCAAAATTGTCGGTTCTTTTTTGCTTATAGTGCAAAAAAGAAAAACCGCACAGGCGATCAAATACCACCAAAAGAAAGCTCAGTTCATGGGAAAAAAGGAGGTAAATTTCATTTGGGTGCAACCTTGCATGACCGTGCAATTGTCAGTTAAAGTAACGCAGCGCTGTAACGCAAAAAATGGCCTGGTCAGGAAGGGGGGGGTAAATCCTCTGGAGGGCAAGGGGTTAATGGACCATCACTAAGGGTGGTAAATAAATGTTTCGTGCAGCCTTTGTCAACCAAGTTGCCACAGCATCCTGGTTGAGTGGCTGCGTTAGAGAGTGGGGGCAGAGAAGCACAGAACTGTGTATCTTTTCAGAGTGGGAGATACATTCTGACAACAGTAATAGCCAGAGCTGTGATATATGTGTGGCAATCAAATACCAGGACAAAGGGGGTAAGGGGAGGCTGTCTCCTGAATTCAGACCTGTTCTGCCTCCCAACCTTTACCAAACAGTACTGTGTAACTACACATTGCACCCAGCAATGTGGGTGCCGCTGTCATATACCTTACACTGGCAGCAGTTCAGGAGGTTTAAAGTGATTATTACAAAAAAAAAAAGTAACTTTTACACACATGTCATACTTGCCTGCTCTGTGTAATGGTTTTGCACAGAGCAGTTCAAACCCTCCTCTTCTGGGATCCTCTGCCTGCGCTGTCTGATTCTCTTTTTCTCTGTCTGCCCCATAGCAAATCACTTGGTATGGGGACAGATGTGCAGGCTTGCTCCCGCACTGAGTTGTGTGCATCCATAGACACAACTATCTCTGCTAGGGTTCCTCTGCTGCCGAGTTTCCTGTGAGAAGAGCTGCTGCAGACAGGTACAGTGCTGGATCAAGATTGGGCTCAGGTAAGTGTTTAACCCCTTGCCTACCGGGCACTTATACCCCCTTCTTTACCAGGCCAATTTTCAGCTTTCAGCGCTGTCGCACTTTGACAATTGCGCGGTCATGCAAGATTGTACCCATATGAAATTTTTACCATTTTTTTTCTCACAAATAGAGCTTTCTTTTGGTGGTATTTAATCGCCGCTGGTCACTTTACTTTTTGCGCTATAAACAAAAAAGTGCAAAAAATTTGAAAAAAAAAAATGTCTTTGTTTCTATTATAACATTTTTCAAACAGGTAATTTTTCTCCTTCACTGATGTGCGTTGATGAGGCGGCACTGATAGGCGGCACTAATGAGGTGTCACGGATAGGCGGCACTGATAGGTGGCACTGACTGGTGCAACTGCTGGGTACTGACTGGCAGCACTGCTGGGTGGCACACGTGTGTGGCACAGGTGGGCACCGATCAGTGCCGATCCCTGCTCTGACAACTGCCGGTTCTTGGCAGTACTTTCCTCACGCTCTGACAGTGTGAGGAAAGTGCAGCCGAGAACCGGCAGTTGCATTTCCCGGTGATTAGCGTGTCATTGGACATGGCTGATCACGTGGTAAAAGGCCGCTGTGATTGGCCTTTTACCACATCACGTGATCAGCTGTGTCCGTAGGACACGGAGATCGCCGGGAGCGCGCAGGAGAGCGTGTTCTGGGAGGACGTCATATGACGCCCTCCCAGAACTGGCCGGCTGCAGTGTAGCCGTCATTCGGCTATCTGCGGTTGGCAAGTAGTTAAAGTAGACATTTTGGCAATTTGTTTTTCATTTTGGATAGAGCAAGGGAAGCCCTGTCAGACTTTTCTTCTTTTTTTTCTCATGTGTCCCATTGTGGAGATTTCTCTTCACTTCCTGTCCCGTGGCCAAACAGGAAGTGAGAGGAAATCCCTTCAAAATAGGAGAATTCTTTTTACCAGAACTAGTGTCCCCATTGGAAAATTTCCCCTCTATAATTTTTCTGGGGAAAACACAAAATTTGGGATTTTTGTTTACTTTCGATGATAATGATAAACAGGTTAAAAATAGAAGGTGAATCTCCCTAACAGGGGCACATACAGTCACAACTGACAGGGATTTTAATCCTCCACTTTATCCAAAACTTAAAGTTTTGCCTTTAGCTATACTAAAGGAGGGGGTTGGGAGAATATGAACTTGAAAGGGAGTCAGCCAATGGGATAGGATGCCCAGGTCAGACAGATACAGTACATCTGTGTTATTTGGGGGGTTTTCTTTTTTAGTCTGTATCTATGTGGATATTAGTGTGTCTGTGTGCATGGAAATGTGTTTTTTTTTTTGTTTTTTGTTTTTTTTTTAGTAGGTGTATTATTGAATTTTAGTGGGTAGAATAAATCCTATAGGGGGCTGTTTTATGTATGTTATATACGCCTGACCCCTGCACTGCTGGGATGTTCGTTATTTTTTACTCCTGACTCTCTGCATATTACTTTTACTACTGACCCATGCATTCTGTGCAGCTGCTTGGGATATGTGGGCTAGATAATCATATAGCCAACACAACATACTTGCAGGCTAAAAAAAAGTACAGGAAGGGGAACAGAGCATTGCAGAAAAAGAGCCTGTCTTTGGCTCTGGCACATGTTTGTAGCAAGCAAATAAGACACCATTCATGTTCACTACTTTAACTGCTTCCCATCTGGCGTATAGCAGGTTGACGGCCTGGCAGGACTTTTGTTTGTTCTGGGTGGACGTCTTAGGACATCCTTTGGGAACGAGCCTTGCACGTGGCCGCGTGTGACTGATCAGTGCACCGACATTCTGCTGGTACCATGTGATCATTGTGACCAGTCACAGCAGATCACATGACAGTTGTAAACAATGAATGGTTTAGAGTCATGCCATTCATTGTTACAATTGTGTTAGCTGTGAGTGGTCACTTGGTACAGACAGGGCCAATCACACAACCCAACTGTACCATGTGATTAGCTGTGACCAATCACAGCTAATCACACAACCCAACTGTACCATGTGATTAGCTGTGACCAATCACAGCTAGTTACATAGTTAGTCTGGCTGAAAAAAGACAAAAGTCCATACAGTTGAACTGTAAAAAAAAAAAAAAGTTATAATCCTATACCCACAGTTCCAGATCCAGCTAATCACAACAAAACAATGAATCCATTTAATTCAGTAAAATGCTTGCTTGTAGCAGTGACAGTCACTGCTGTAAGGAATCACAATGTGTATAAAAAAAAATGTTATATTGCTCTGGCCACAGTGAGTTAAAAAAAAACAAAACCTTAAAGTAATAGAAAAAAAATTTTTTTTACTGTCACTGTGTAAAAAAAAAAAAAAAAAAGTTTTTTTTCTTTAATTTTCAGAAAGATTGACAAAAAATTACAACTTTTGGAAAACTTGCATGCCTCTTATTAAATACCTTGGACTGACTACTTTCCAAAAAGGGGTCATTTGGGGGATATTTGTACTGTCCTGGAATCTTTGGCCTTCAAGAAATTAGATAGGCTATCAGTACATTAGGATTGATCGATTTTCAGATATATCCCATAGTTTGTAGGCTCTATAACTTTCCTACAGACTAAATAATATACACCGATTTGGGTTGTTTTCAGCACAGAAATGTAGCAGAATACATTTTGGCCTAAATTTATTAACCACCTCCCATCCGGCCGTTGTATATAAACGGCCGGACAGTGGCAGTGCAGGGTCGGGTGGCCGTTTATAAACGGCCTCCCCACCCCCTGCTTGTGCACGCTCCCTGGGAGCGTGCAGCACCAAGATCCAGTGCCCGATGTGTCCTCCGGACATGGGAACACCGATCGTCATACGGGACCTCTGTGGGAGGTCCCGATCATGTGATCACTAATTGGCCAATCAGTGATCACATGCAGAGTAGTACGCAAGATGTCACTTCTGATATCATTGCTTACTACGTGTAACATCTGTGAATGATCACAGAGGTACACATGTACTGCTAGGGTGACAGTATGGAAAGAAAAAAAAAACAAAAAAAAAATAAAAATGTAAAAAAAAAGTTTAAAAATTATTATTTTTGGTTATAAACTAAATTGGGTTTTTTTCTTTACTAAAAAGATAACGGAATACATTTTGGCCAAGATTTATGATGAAATATTATTTATTTGCAAAAATGTGAAAAACATTTTTTTAAAAATTTTTGGACTTTTTCATTTACATAGCAAAAAAAAATTAAAATCCCAGCGGTGAATAAATACCACCAAAATAAAATGCTAAAAAAATCATATGGGTACAGTGTTGCATTACCGCGCAATTGTCATTCAAAGTGTGATAGCACTGAAAACTGGCCTGGACAGGAAGGGGGTAAAAGTGTCCAGACTGGAAGTGGTTAAAGACCATTATTTATTTGCAAAATTTTATTACCGAAACAAACAAAAAAAAAATGTTTCCTTTCAAAATTTTCAGTCTCATTTATGTAGCAAAAAAATAAAAAACCCAGTTAAATACCACCAAAAGAAAGCTCTATTTTCTGTGGAAAAAAACGGTTAAAATTTAGTTTGGGTACAGTGTTGCATGACCACACAATTTGTCATTCAAAGTGCGACAGCGCAGGATGAGGGGTAAAAGTGACCGTATTGAAGTGGTTAAAGTGGAACTAAAGTTTATTATTTAACAAAAAAAAAACTGTGGGCAGACTCTCTTTTGCAGAAGATACATGCAATTTATCTGCTGCAATAAAATAAATCTACCTGCCTCCCCAGTCTTCCGCTTGTGCAGCTACATTTACATTCCTACACAGTACCAGGATGACTGTACTCTTTGCGCATGCGAGGAAATGACGTCATCCTGCACCAGTCAATCAAGATGGTGACAGCAGGAAGAGGCCACAGAGGAGATTCTGGAACCGGCAAGGGAGATTTTGGGTATATTGAAGCAAAGGTAAGTATACGGGCAGCACAGCGGCTAAATGGTTAGCACTTCTGCCTGGCAGTACTAGGGTCGTGGGTTTGAATCCCAGCCACGGCACCACCTGCCTGGAGTTTGCATGGTCTCCCTGTGTGGGTTTCCTCCGGGTACTCCGGTTTCCTCCACTCCAAAGACATGCTGCTAGGTGAATTGGATCCTGTCTAAATTGTCCTAGTATGTGTATGAATGTGAGTTAGGGACCTTAGATTGTACACCCCTTGAGGGTTAGGGACTGATGTGAATGTACAATATATATGTAAATTGACGGCGCTATATAAGTACCTGAAATAAATAATAAATAAATAAGTATGGGGGCTTATAGTTCTGCTTTAAATTGGCCAACCTTAACAATGAGAATATTTTGAGCACTCAGGTTTGCAGGGTCATCATTCTGCCATAACAAGACTACCTCAATGAAGGGTATATAGGAGAGGAAGCAAGGTGTGCAGGCAGCCATTGATTATTGCTGTAGTTCAAAAGTGATCAGGACTGGTTTTCTAATCTAGTGGGACTGTTTTTTGTTTTTTTTTTTTTGAACTGGAATGTCTAAACATTTTGCATGCTGAAGACTGCCACGAATGAAATACTGATTTAGAGAATTCAGGAGCAATAATCACACTTTTTTTTTCTTTCTTCTCCCCCTTCTCTTACAGACCGGCGGCAGTGGTGTGCGATCATCGTTTTGGTGGTTGCTCTCGTTATTTTACTGATTGTGCTGTTGTCACATAAATCCTAGTATTGGCCTCAGGTTGCTCCATAGATGGAGTTTGCAAGTTACAAATCGTAATTACAGGTCAATTGCTTCCCATTGGACAAGGACTCCGTGTGAGATATTACCACAGCACTGCCACATACCAGCAGACATACACAGTAATAAATAAGGTTGTTTTTTTTTTTTTTATCTGAGCAACAGTGTCTAATCTTTGTGACAGCAATACATTTCATTTATTGCAGTTGACCAGTGCTACAGCTGTGGTAGCAGCATTGGTTTGCAGTTTTGCCATGGTCAATGGGTGCTTTCTTAGCCTGAAAATTAAGTTTCCTAATTTCTTCCTTTTTGAGATGAACAAAGGCAGACATACAGCCATTGTGACAACTGTAGCTGCCTCCATAGATACAGTGGAGAAGTATTTTCTCCCTTGGAAAAGGAAGTGTTATTTGCAGGGTCACCAGGTAAAAACAGCCTGAAAAAAGAAAACTAATGCAGCTACCATATCTAAGACCTGGTAAGCTGCACAATATTAGTTTTGTTATTGGGTTTATGACTTGGGCTGTCTGGCTCTTGGCATTTGGAGAACACCTATTATACATTTTACTAACTGAAACTCCCTCTGTGTCTGTCTAGCCCCATGATGGCATTATTTAACCATTTCCCGTGCAGCCCATGTACATAAACGGCTGGATGGGAGCAGTGCCAAAGCGGGTGGCCGTTTTATAAATGGCCCCTTGCATTCACTGCCTGGAAGTGCGCGGCACCGCAATCCAGTAATATAAAAAAAAATGTTTAAAAATTATAATTTTTGGTTATAAACTAATTTGGGTTATTTTTTTTTTACTAAAAAGATAACGGAATAAATTTTGGCCAAGATTTATGATGAAATATAGTATTTGCAAAATTCTAAAAGAAACTTTTTTCTAAATTTTTGGACTTTTTCATTTCCATAGCAAAAAAAAATAAAAATCCTAGTGGTGAATAAATACCACCAAAATAAAGCTTTATCTGTCTCAAAAAAATGCTAAAAAATTCATATGGGTACAGTGTTGCTTGACCGTGCAATTGTCATTCAAAGTGTGATCTGAAAAATTGGCCTGGACAGGAAGGGGGTAAAAGTGTCTGGACTTGAAGTGGTTAAATGGACACCATAGACAGGCAACTGCATTCTCAGCTTCAGAGCAAGCCCCTTTTAGCATGATGTTGCCCCCTATGCCTGAGACATGGTTTGTCAAGTAGAGGCCTACACAGAGCCCTGCTGTTATCAATGCTGAACACCTTTGGGATCCATTGGAATGCAGCATATGAGCCGGGTCTTCTCATCCAAATCATTTCCTGACTTCACAAATGCTGTTTTGCCTGAATGGACACAAATTCCCACAGACACGCTTCCAAGTCTTGTGAAATGACTTCCCAGAAGAATGGTGAATTTTATAGCCACAGAGGGAGCCACTTTGAGATGAATAATATATTAAATAGGCCTTGTAGCCAAACCATTTATTTTAACAATCGTCCCATAATAGATGGGCATTGTACACATTATAAACACCTCACTGTTGTAGACATCTCAAAGAAAAAAAAAAAAGCATGAGAGTACTGCCATCCTGGAAGTAGAGCCATCAGCACCAGCAGACTGCTTTCTGAAACAATGACCAAGAAAACAATGCACATACTTGTTCCAACCCACTTAGGCGGGCCATAGCCGGGCCATTTATTGGCCGATAAACGAAAAATTGGGTGGCCCTGTTGATGCTGCCACCCATGTCCACAAAAAAGTTTTGTGGATTTTCCAGCATGACCGATAAAAATAAATGAGATCTGTGAAAACTGGCCGACGGGCTGACCCCACTAACGGTGTGATTATCGGCCGATTTTTCGTGCGGACGAAAATTCGGCCGATAAACGACCCCGTCTATGGCCTGCATTACTCCCTGTGTATTATTTATTTATTTCAGGTACTTATATAGTGCTGTCAATTTACACAGCACTTTACATATATATATATTGTACATTCACATCAGTCCCTAACCCTCAAGGGGTGTACAATCTAAGGTCCCTAACTCACATTCATACATACACATACTAGGGACAATTTAGACAGGAGCCAATTAACCTACCAGCATTTCTTTAGAGTGTGGGAGGAAACCCACGCAGTCACAGAGACAACATGCAAACTCCAGGCAGGTGGTGCTGGGGTTGGGATTCGAACCAACGACCCTAGTACTGCCAGGCAGAAGTGCTAACCATTTAGCCACTGTGCTGCCCTATTATTCACTTCAATCCTGGACACTTGCACCCTCTCCCTGCCCAAGCCAAATTTCAGCTTTCAGCACTGTCACACTTTGAATGATAATTACACTGTCATGCAACACTGTACCCAAATAAATTATTTATTTATTTTTTTTTAGACAATGCTTTCTTTTGGTGGTATTTTTTCACCACTGGCTCTTTTGTTTCTGTTATATAAACAAAAAATAGAAAATTTTGAAAAATAAAAACAAAATATCTTTGTTACAAAATTTAGCAAATATTTTCTTAATACATTTAGGCCAAAATGTATTCTGCTATATTTCTTTGGTAAAAATAACCCAAATCAGTGTTTACTATTCAGTCTGAAAGTTATGGAGTCTACAAACTATGGTGTATGTATATCTGAAAATTGATCAATTCTGATGGTCTGATAGCCTCTCTCATTTCTTGAGACCCTAAAATGCCAGAACAGTACAAATATCCCCCCAAATGACCCTTTTTTGGAAAGTATACAGTCGGAGGCATTTAGTAAGTGGCAAGGTGAATATTTTTGAAGTTGTAAATTTTTTTTTTTTTTATTAACTGCAACTTTATTTTTTTTTTAATATACTGTCACCAGTGCAGTACAGCATCATCCTATGACTGGTGGGGCGGTGATCAGGGATACTGACTGGTGACAGTACGTTAGTCACTCTTGGTATGCTCACAGACGTTTCACAACCGGGACTGGAAAGAAATGGCGGTGGAGCCCCCCTCAGACTGGGAAAATCCAACACTGCACAGAAACATGAAAACAAAGAGGGTGCAAATGCCTAGCGCATTACCTTAAAATAATTTATTGCAAAAAATAAGAGACAAAAGGTTATACTCACAAACCAAGGGAGCTAATGGCATGTATTTGCATAGACACACAATGTGGACTGCTCTCCCCCTCCAACTGGAGACATGATGGTGTTAACTTCTGCCACGTTTCAGGGACCCTGTCCCCTTCCTCAGAGCAAAGTCTGATGTCTCCCAGAAATCAAACACGTGTGTAAATTCCCCAGCCCACCTACCATCAGGGGGCAGGGAGAAGAAGGAGAAAGTTCTTTTAAATGAAAAAAACTCATAATCCTACTCTATGCATATGAGAAATAAAAACATACAAACATGTTACCAACACAGGATCCAACTGACAAGGACCTGATCAGATTGCACGTGTGAGGGGCCTTATTGGTACAAGACCAGTCAGCCACCATGGCACATGGAAAGAGCCACAGTGACCGGTCTTTATTACAGGAAGCTCCTGCACAGAGGAAACGTTTCACACTGGATAGGTACACAGATCTAGAAGAAACACACTAAGATTCAAGAAAGAACACAACTCCTGTAATTAGGCCAGTGGTCTCCAAACTGCGACCTTTGATTCCTCCCACTGACACCAACAATGGGGCACCAATTCTTCCAATGACACCAAGAGTGGGGCATAATTCCTTCCACTGACAACAAAAATGGGGCACTTATTCTCTGCCTAATACCAAATATCAGGCATTGTTTACTCCCACTAGGCACAGTCTGGGCCCCCCTCAAGTCTGAGGGATATTAACCCCTTGATGCCGACGTTACACAAATATGCGGCCTCACAGAGCTGGGCTTTTATCTGGGGGAACAAATATTTGCATACCTGTCTTTGTGCTGGGGGGCGCGTCGCACAGCACGCTCCTAGCACAAAGACCGCGGTGTCACTGAGCGTACCGGGTCCTGTTCTAACGATCGGGACCTGGGACTCCCAATTCCGAGTCACATGATCGCTGTGATAGCCTCCGATTGGCTATCACAGTGATCAGTCACTGTGCAGCCCGTCCCCTTTGTTTCTCTCTCTCTAGGAATGGAGGAGAGATACATTGTATCTCTCTAACTTCTGGTATAGAGGGGGAAAAAAAATGTTTGTTAAAAAAAAAAAAAAAGTGTGTGTGTATGTATGTATATAAAGGTTTGATCTAGTTCATTGCCAGGGTTAGTGTTTGGGTCAGGGTCAGGATTTAAAAAAAAAAAAATGGTGTTAGTGTCAGTGTGTTTTAAGTAAAAAAAAAAAAAAAAGACAAAAACAAAATGCGCACTATTGTTTCTGGGCTGTACTCCGGGTACAAACAACAAATAACATACACATATAGGGTATTGCTACGATCGTCAAGAGCTGGAGAATTTATTTTGGGTTGCTCTTTGGTGGTAGGTTATGGTAGTAACAAGAAACACACAGCTAAATATATAGAAAAAATATTTTTTTTTTCACTATTTTGGGCCAGTTTTCCTTTGAAAATAATTACAAAAAAAAATCAGGAGATATCCATTACCATTTACCACCAAATGAAAGCCCATTTTGGCCGGAAAAAAAACGCGGTATAATCCACCTGGATGTACAAAGCAGTTGTGATGATATGGACGGTTTTACTAACACATATCAACGTTGCAAAATTGTGCTTGGGCATCTAGATTTGTTTTACCCTTAGGTGTGAAGGGGTTAACTGGCCCTTTCTTTAGAAAGTTTGGAGACCCCTGATTTAGACCAGCCTCTCTCAACCAGGGTACCCTGAGGTTTCTTCAGGGGTGCCTTGGCAAAATGTTGAACAATTGCCCAAAACCTGTATACAAGCCTGCCTTTTAGTAACACAAAGCTGCAGGTTTCAGTTGTGTCTATAGGACAATAAGTGAAGGAAATCTCCCTAATGAGTTGCAGACCAAAAACTAAAAAGGGGTGAAAAAATTGGCTTTATCTATATTTTGAGATCTAAACAAATACGAAGAACCTGCAATGTTCTTCATTTGCTGAATGCATCTTTGCAGTTAGTGACATTTAACCAACTCGCAGCACTCCAGTGCCCGCTGTGTCCTCCAGACACAGTGAAACACCGATCGTCGGACGGGACCTCTGTGCGAGGTCCTGATCATGTGATCACTGATTGGCCAATCATTGATCACATGCAGAGTAGTAAGCAAGATGTTACTTGTGACATCATTGCTTACCACGTGTGAAATCTGTGAATGATCACAGAGGTCACATGGTACAAGGCTATTCACAACAGCCTTGTACCATGTGACAAGCTGTGACCAATCACAGCTCACACAGTAGTTCTCAATGGTTGCAAGAATGCAGACAGAGAGAAGGATAAATGATTGCATGTATAGCCTTTATGGGTGTAAAAGCAATCAGTGTTAAAAAAAAAAAAAATCATCATCACCCCCCACAAGTAGTACAGTGTCACCATGGTGACACTGTACTGCTAGGGTGACAGTATGTTAAAAAAAAAACCAAATAAAAACAAAATGTAAAACAATGTTTAAAAATTATAATTTTTGGTTATAACCTAATTTGGGTTATTTTTTTTATAAAAGATAATGGAATACATTTTGGCCAAGATTTATGATGAAATACTATTTATTTGCAAAATTTTATAAGAAACTTTTTTTCAAAATTTTTGGACATTTTCATTTACATAGCAAAAAAAATAAAAATCCCAGTGGTGAATAAATACCACCAAAATAAAGCTTTATCTGTCTGATAAAAATGCTAAAAAAATTCATATGGGTACAGTGCTGCATGACCGCGCAATTGTCGTTCAAATTGTGATAGCGCTGAAAGCTGAAAATTGGCCTGGACAGGAAGGGGGTGACAGTGTCCGGACTGGAAGTGGTTAAAGCAGTAGTGAACACGGCTAGGTCGCTTGTACCTGCAGGTAAGTGTATAATAAAGCTCACCTGTAGGCACATTGAATATCTCAGAAACGTGCACCATTTAGGAGATGTTCACAGTTGTTGCAGCTACTTTCGTCACCGACACATGCACAATGCACTCTGAATTCAGGGAACACTGAATGTGCCATCAATCCAGAATACTGAGCCACAATCGTGACTCCCATGCATGAGAGTACCAATCATCATGGCTCGGCCATGTCAACGGCTGGAGCCCACAAACCTGGAAGGAAGACTGGGTGAAGATGGAAGCCCTGTCAGTGGTGAAATCATGCCACTGAAGGGATCCCTTTTACAGGTAGGTCTGTCATGTGTTAGTATGTGATGCATACTAGCACATTATGCCATTAACTTGCAGGAGGGACCTTTTTTCCCCCTCAAAGACTTCCCTGCTGCTTTAGAACCAGATGATCAGCTTTTCAGCCAGGAAACTAGAATGATCAGAAGCAGATTCAAAATGACAACTCACATTTCTATAATACAGGTTTCCTTCAAGGAAAACACTAAAGTGTTACTCAGGGGCGGACTGACAACTCATGGGGCCCCAGGCAATAGGGGATAATGGGGCCCCTGTGTCCTTGCCCAAACTCAAAAAAGCCTATGAAAAAGGTACCAGGGGCATCTCATGGGGCCCCCTACTGACCCCGGGCCCTCAGGCAGTGCCAGAGTTTCCAAATGGTCAGTCCGCCCCTGGTGTTACTAAACCCACAACAGTAAAACAAGTCTGTATATGCAGTAAAGCATGCTTGTTGTACTCACTGTGGAACCTAAGGGGTTAATCCTCTGCATTGAGTAAAAAGGCTGATTGATCCTGTCTTCTCTGATGCTCCTGTCCGCAATCCATCTGCTTATAGTACAGAGCTCTAGGAGTTAATCTGCACATGCTCAGTTTAGGGTGTATTGCCAGAGTTTTATTTTTCTTTGGGAGGGTGCATGTGATCAGCACAGGACCAATCGGCTCTGTCCAGAGAGAGGGTCAGGGGTTATGCAGCCTCATAGTACAGTCAGAACAGAATAAAAACTCATAAGATTAACCAGTGCTCAGCGGGATACTGATGGAAGTCACAAGACTGCTATATACTGATGAAAAAAAAAAAAAAGGTATTTGGCAGTTTAAATTGACTAAAATAATTGCATTTCCATGTAGTGGGTGCTGGGGGAGAGAAGATATAGTGAATGCAGGGTCCGGGGAGACCAGATATAGTGAATGCAGGGTCCGGGGAGAGACCGGATATAGTGAATGCAGGGTCCGGGGAGAGACCGGATATAGTGAATGCAGGGTCCGGGGAGAGACCGGATATAGTGAATGCAGGGTCCGGGGAGAGACCGGATATAGTGAATGCAGGGTCCGGGGAGAGACCGGATATAGTGAATGCAGGGTCCGGGGAGAGACCGGATATAGTGAATGCAGGGTCCGGGGAGAGACCGGATATAGTGAATGCAGGGTCCGGGGAGAGACCGGATATAGTGAATGCAGGGTCCAGGGAGAGACCGGATATAGTGAATGCAGGGTCCGAAGAGACCGGATATAGTGAATGCAGGGTCCGGGGAGACCGGATAGTGAATGCAGGGTCCGGGGAGACCGGATATAGAGAATGCAGGGTCCGGGGAGAGCGGATATAGTGAATGCAGGGTCCGGGGAGAGCGGATATAGTGAATGCAGGGTCCGGGGAGAGCGGATATAGTGAATGCAGGGTCCGGGGAGAGCGGATATAGTGAATGCAGGGTCCGGGGAGAGCAGATATAGTGAATGCAGGGTCCGGGGGAGACCAGATAAATAAAAAAAAAATATTAAAAATATAAAATTTGAAAGTGTGCTATTCTTCTGAAAATCCAATATCAATAAATGGATAGGATATAATTTTTCTATGCACTCACCTTAATTTTAGCCTAACAGGTTATTAGGCTAAAACAGTTTTTTGTCCTAAAAGGACAGATGGAACGTTTTCCTGTGGCAGATATCCTTCCTAGATTATAGATTGAACGTTGTAATATTATTATTATTACACCTGTGGTCTCTCAGGTAAACTGATCCCTGTGTTGGATGTGGATGGATTTCTCCCTTTCTCCTTCAGGGGTCTACTCCTTGCTTTGTCTCCTCTCTCCAGTACTCCACATTAATGATGTCAAAAAAGAAGAGAAAACATAGTGCCGACACGTCCCTCAGGCCATCCCAAAACGACCCGCGAGGAGCAACAACCTGGGCTATCCTGACAGAAGCAGACCGCTAATCATGAGCACCCAAATTTAATGCTGGATCACATGGTTAAGTTTTTGAACAGGAATCATTGGTGCGCGGCACACTTTGTTGTATTTTATGTTTAGTCACAGGCACTATTGATGAGTGTTTAGTGTCAGCGAGACACGTGTGTATTTATTTAATTTAATTGATTAATTTATCACAATTGCCATTTACCATAGTAGCTCACAAGCACTTATAATTTTTTCATTAAAAGTGATTCTGTTTCCCTGCTGGGACTATCCACCTGAATGGGAATAGACTCAATATTGTATGGAATGTTATTGCTACACAGTGTTGGTGAATGATTGGTTCCAGCATTTGTATTCAGTATGATCAGGGGGTACATAACCTAGTAACAACAAAGTAATTAAAAAAATAAATAAACTCAAAATTAACAACAAAACACAGTTTTCAGTTTTGTTAAAAATGTTTATTAATATCTGTTTTCGGAATTTTTACTCCATTATGTGCAATTCTTCTGTCTCACAGTTAAGGGAACACACAGCGATATCTTGGCACTTAAAAGAGCAGAGAGGAAGGAGACACGGAAAGGGAGCATTTTTAGAAACCACAGAAACCTCCCCGCCCACTGCGCCGTGGATGAGGAAATCTGGGTGTGGTGCTTATCTCAAAGCATTTGCACTTAACAATCAAGAGTGCGCAATTAGTGAAGAGTCCGTTATGGCAGAAGGAAATGGGGATTCTTTTTTTTTTTTTCAATTTTTTTTCCCTACAATTAAAAAATAAACATATAAAAAACAAAAAAAAAAATACCCACTGGCCCAGGGGGGAGTAGAAAAACAGAAGCATAAAAAAAGAATAAAAGGTGCGGCCCTCCCTCTCTGCTAATGAATCATTCCAAAAATTTACCAGTCTGTCAGTGAAATTGTCTATTTTTATTGCCAACAAGGGAAGAATCACTCTTTTTTTTTCTCCTTCATCAACATTACATTTTATAGGACTGGTTGAAACAAAGGTAACTTCATCCATTAAAATTGTGCAATTCCATTGAAAATCTTTGACATATCAATTGTGGGTGTAGCACATGCTCACATTCAGAAGCTGGCACTATTGTCGTATCATTTAGAACCAGAAATGCAAGGGTTAACCCAAAGCTGCCAATCTGAAGTCGTCCAAAGACGGCATAGTATGTGACAAATCTCTTACTGCCCATTTTGCAGAACTACAAGTCCCAGCACACAATTCTAGCAGTGCTTTCCATGTGCCATGACTGTACATCGCCATCTAGTATCAGCTGGCAGGTATTACATCTGCCTGCTCATATTTTCCTAAGTGTGCTATTCCAGACAGCACCCAACAGTGACATCTACTGTTTGTGAGCATGTACTACACTATTACCAGCAACTACTGCAAATTTTCATATGTAACAGAAAGGCCTATAAAATATACATGTTTAAAATAGGTTGAATCTTCCTTTATGTTTTCCTAAGCAACTACTGTGAAAATGGTGGATGTGATCACTAGTGAAAAATTAATTTGGCAAAAAGCAAACAGAAGCAAAAAAAGAATTAGAAAACAAAAACATATGCTTGTGCAGCCTTGCGCACTTCTGCATATACAAAAAAAAAAAAAAAAAACACACACAAAAACGGATTGCCTAAGGGCTGCTTCTTTTCAGATCTCCATTCCCACCCCTTTGCCTGCAAAAATATTAATTCAAATTATTTACATCCCGTTACAGCCCAGCAGGGCTCAGCTAACTGAGAAAACCTACACGTGGGAAGAGAGGTTACTATATATATACAGATATATGTACAGCAAGACATGCATGGTGCAGGCAGGTCGGTCAAACCCCAATGGCAGCCCTTGTAATAAAAACCTCAACTGTGTCTTCGGAATCCTTAGTTGAGATGCGGCAATCTCCACGCGTTACCTTACTGAATATAGTGTTTATTAGAACTACGCAAGATTTCTATACATAATGCTGGAAACTGCAAAGGTAGGAAATGAACGTGGATTATGATGTGGTGATTTTACACTGCCTACACATCATGAAAAGGCTGAATCGTAAGAGCAACCAGCGCGCCCAAGAAGATCGATGGAGCTCATGTATAACAAGTGAAGGGATGGCTTCTTGCTTGCTCTTTGCATCGAGTTCAGCCTACGCTTTTACAACCAGCACTGGGTGAAGGCTGGCTGATGTGCTGCATAAACAAAAAAACAAAAAAAAAAAAACCCCACAAAAAAACAAGAAAACAAGAAACCCCCCCCCCCCCCCAAAAAACAAGAAAACAAACAAAAAAAAAAAAAAAAAAGAAAAAAGAAAAACAAGCAAAAGAAAAACAAAAAGACAAGAAAACGAAAAAAAAAAAACAAGAAAAAAAAAAACAAGCAAAGAAAAAAAGACAAAAAGACAAGAAAAAAAAACAAGAAAAGAAAAACAAAAAGAACAAGAAAAAAAAAAACAAAAATAGAAAAACAAGAAAAAAAAAAAACAAAAAAAATAAGAAAAGAAAAACAAAAAAATAAGAAAAGAAAAAAAAAAAATATAAAAAAGAAAAACAAAAATAGAAAAAAAAGAAAAGAAAAAAAAAACAAAAAAAACAAGAAAAGAAAAAAAAAACAAAAAAAAAAAGAAAAACAAAAAAACAAGAAAAGAAAAAAAAAAAAAACAAGAAAAAAAAAAAAACAATAATAGAAAAAAAACAAGAAAAGAAAAACAAAAATATAAGAAACGAAAAACAAAAAAAAACAAGAAAAAGAAAAAAAAAAAACCAAGAAAAGAAAAAAAAAGAAAAAAAAAAAACAAGAAAAGAAAAAAACATCCAAGCTTCAATTGGTCAATTTTTCTATTGCAATTTAGCCACCATGGTGACTCCCATGCATGGCAGTGATGTGCGAAGATGGAAACGCCAAGAGGTGACAGCTCAGAGCTGAAGGGCTTTTTTCTTTTTCTCTCATTATGCGGTGCATACTAGCACAAGTTTAATACCGATTTACACCCCGGTCACATCGGGTGTGACTTGGCATGTCAGGCGACTTGCAAATCGTATGCCAAGTCGCACCCTATTGTCCGCAATTACAGCGGTCATATTGGTGCGGTTCTGACTCGGTCAGATCCGCACTGATTTCTATAGTAGTACATGCAGTACTTTTGTTGCGATTTGCATAGACATTTGTGTCGGATGTCTTGCAAATCACAGCTGAAATCGGCATGTCATCTGATTTTGAAATCGTTCGACTTTGCTGTAAGTCGCACGATTTCAACATCGGCTTTGATGTGACCGGGGGGGGGGGGGGGGGGGGTAAAGAGCACAAGCAACTTTGACGGTTAACAATAACGGCATGTCTTGAATGTAACTATTACAGAAAACCAATAAATTGGTGGGGGATTAGTTCTGCTTTAATGTGAAACAAAACCCATCGATTTAATGAAAAACAAAACAGTTAATTTCCCAGCATGCCAGGAATGTGAATTGTCACATTTGCTTGTGCTCTCAGCCAAACCATCAAATGTTTGGCGTCATAACGGATCACATGTGCAGAACCATGGCAGTTGCAGATCAAACAGAGGCGCAAAGAAAGGTTTAGTTCCCCTTTAAGGGCCAGTTAAAGGAATGCTGCATTCCCACGTGTTCTGAAGGGGTTCGGTTCATTTGAATGGGTTGCCAAACACATGTAACCACGCAAGTAGTAGTGCAAGAGTGTAGTTACCGTGTGGTTTGGTGGCCGCAGCCGAAGAGATGCGTTAATTATTGGCACCCACGCACTTCTTGCAAGAGCGGAGCATTCATGCGCTGTGCGGGACACGTTCACACAACAAGCCTCTTCCCGCATTGCGTCCCGATGTGAACGGACCCCAAAAGTGTGTTATTCGATGTACCGCGCCGTCAGGGGCGGACTGACAACTCATGGGGCCCCGGGCAATAGGGGATCATGGGGCCCAAACTCAAAAACAGCCTATGAAAAAGGTACCAGGGGTATCTCATGGGGCCCCCCCTACTGACCCCAGGCCCTGGGCAGTGCCCGAGCTTCCAAATGGTCAGTCCGCCGCTGCGCGCCGTTTATTTTTACACCAAATACAAATAGATCCAGCTCCTAGTTAGCTTCCCAATAACAGCCAATCAGATTCCAGCTATCATTTTTTTTATGGAACATTAACCAGTTGCCATGGAGATAGTCTGTAAAGCAGGGGTATCCTGCGAACCTACAATTCCCATCATGCCTCTGCCTTTCAGAGTCATGCTTATAACTGTCAATCTCGCAATGCCTCATGGGACTTGTAGTTTTGGCAACAGCTGGAGGGCCGCCAGTTTGACGCCCATGGTGTAAAGCAACAAGACTCCACCACTCAAGTGCAAAAGAAAACGAATGCTGATATCAGGTTGCTGTGGACCAGGGGTGGACTGACCATTTGGATACTCGGGCACTGCCCAAGGGCCCGGGGTCAGTAGGGGGCCCCATGAGATGCCCCTGGTACCTTTTTCATAGGCTTTTTTTAGTTTGGGCAAGGACACAGGGGCCCCATGATCCCCTAATGCCCGGGGGCCCCAT